TCCAGGCCAGCCCTCTGCTGTGGCCAGGGAGTGCAGTGGAGGATGGCCCAGGTGCTTGGGCCCTGCACCCCATGGGAGACCAGGAAAAGCACCTGGCTCCTGGCTCCTGCCATCGGATCAGTGCGGTGCGCCGGCCGCAGCGCGCCGGCCGCGGCGGCCATTGGAGGGTGAACCAACGGCAAAGGAAGACCTTTCTCTCTGTCTCTCTCTCTCACTGTCCACTCTGCCTGTCAAAAAAAAAAAAATGTAGTTGACTTAATTGAGTTACATAAAATTTGGCAAAGATCCAGAGAATGGGAACTGAAATGATCACAGATAAATGAGAGAGAAGAGAGATCTCTCCATCTGCTGATTCATTCCCCAAATACCTGCAGTGGCTTGGAGTGGAGGGAGGAGCCAGCAACTCAATCCGGGTCTCCCATCTGGGTGGCAGAGACCCAATCACTGCTGTCTCTCAGGGTCTGCATTAGGAAAATGGAATCAGGAGTGGGAGCCAGGAATCATACATACACACCACTGCGGGACATGGGTATCTTAACTGCTGTGCCAGACTGAGGCCTGCTCCCGAACAGATACATCTTTAGACTACAGTTGTATGAAAAGGGGTTAAAGAAAAGTTATTTAGTTCACAAGAGAAAAGGCTGAAGAACAAACTGCAGTGTTTGTCTTCCTGACTTAGGCAGTATATTTGTCTTAGACAATATAGGAACAAATGACCTTTATTTTTTTTTCCTTAGGAGAATCTAAAAAATTACCTTAATTGCAACTGCAGCTTTTGTTAAGTTAAAGTCCCATGGTATGTATTGAGGGCTAAAATTGAATGACTAATTGGTGGCACCTGGCCAATTTGTGAAAGCGCAAATAATGTGTAAATGACAATCACATGTAGTGAGGAAGAGAAAGCTTCTCAAAATGAAATTTGACTACAGTGTCACAGCAATCTTGTTTGCTGGCCATACAGGCATGCTACATACACTTGTGTGCTATCTTGCCTCCAAGGTGCTAGCACCATTTAAGTGGAAAACAGAAAAAGTACCTTTAGAAATTTTTGTATTTGGGCCGGCGCCATGGCTCACTAGGCTAATCCTCCGCCTGCGGCGCTGGCACCCCGGGTTCTAGTCCCAGTCGGGGTGCTGGATTCTGTCCCGGTTGCTCCTCTTCCAGGCCAGCTCTCTGCTGTGGCCCGGGAAGGCAGTGGAGGATGGCCCAGGTCCTTGGGCCCTGCACCCTCATGGGAGACCAGGAGAAGCACCTGGCTCCTGCCTTCGGATCAGGTGTGCTGGCCGCAGCGGCCATTGTGGGGTGAACCAATGAAAAAAAAGGAAGACCTTTCTCTCTGTCTCTCTCACTGTCCACTCTGCCTGTCAAAAAAAAAAAAAAAAAAAAAAAAGAAAGAAAAGAAATTTTTGTATTTAATTCCTCTGAGAAAAAACGGGTGGTATAGTGTTCTTAGCATTGAGAAGGCAAGTCAGCACTAATTAATTTTACAGATACTATAAGCAGAGTCACTAGAATGTATCCCTGATGGGGACAACAGATTTCACTTCTCTATTCATATTCATACCTGGCAGTATTTGTACTCAGTAGGAAAAAGGTAATGGTTGATTTCCAGTAACTTCCATGCAGGCCTCCAATGATTTCCAATTTCTCAGCTGTTGCTTTAGCTGACCTATTAGCAGTTACAGTTGATCATTCCCTCCTGCTGTAGCTTCTTCACGTGGCTACTGGTTCCTTCTATCTAGCAGCCACTGCTCTGGCTCATTTGCTGATTCTTCTCACCTTCCCTCAGTCACTCTGTCACTTCTCCAGCTAAACTTTCTCCCTAGAGAGCAGCACGGTCCAACAGAAAAATAATGTGAGCCACAAATGCAAGGCATTTGAAAATTTTCTAGTTACTACATTAGAAAAAGTAAAAAGAAAGTGCTGAAATTCATATTTGAAGGGATCTGCAAAAAGTTCATGGAAAATGTGTATTATGAAAAAACTTTGCATGGATTTCAAAAAAAATTTTACATCAAAATAAACTTTTCTTTAAAAAAAGTTTATTTATTTATTTATTTGAAAGGCATAGTGGCACAGAGAGAGGGAGATATACAGCAAGAGATCTCCTGTCCACTGATTTACCCTCAAATGCCTACAACAGCCAGAGCTGGGCCAGACTGAAGCCAGGAGCCAGGAACTCTATCCAGGTCTTCCATATGGGTGGCAAGAACCCAAGTACTTGAGCTGTCATCTGCTGCCTCTCAGACATAATAGCAGGAAACTGGGTTGGAAGAGGAGGCAGGACTTGATACCAGGCACTTCCACATAGGATATGGGCATCCCAAGTAGAGGGGCATAATGTTTGCCCTAAATTTACTGTTAATTCCATTTTTTTCATGAACTTCCTAAAGTCCCCTTGTATATCCAACCCATTATACAACAATCATTTCAGTAATGTAAAAAAATTAATGTGATATTTTGAGTTATTTTTAATACTGTTTTGAAATCCAATGTGTTGTACCTATGGCATATCTCTATCGAGACTAGCTACATTGTATGTGTCCAACAGCCATTATGTTGCTAAGGCTGTTGTATTGGACAGCTTGGCCCTAGGGGATCTCATCAGATTCCTTAACTTAAAATATCTTTTGTATGATGAACACTGGCTACTCTCAAATTTTTATTTCTGGCTTAAACCTCTTTCCTGATCTCCAGACTCAAATACCTAAGGATGTCATCACTTCCTGGATTCCTAATGCAATGTCTCCAACTTGTCACACCCAAACTGAACTAATGGTCTCCTCCAAGTGTTCTCCATCTCTGTTGTCGACAACTCCATCATTCACTCAGGCCAAAACACTGGAGTCACTCTTAACTCCTCTCTCAAACTTTACATTCATTCTACAACTCCACTGGTAATATTAGTTCCATATTCAAAAAATAACAAGATTCTGATCCCATATTGTCACCTCCACTACCACTACTATTGTCCAAACACCCAGTAATCCCGTTCTTGTTTGGATTATTTCCAACAGCATCCAAGATTGCCCCAGTCTCTCTTCATAGCAGGCAGACATCTTTTAATAACATAACCCAGGGCCGGTGCTGTGCGGGTGGGGCCACTGCCTGCAGTGCCGTGGGGAAGTGAACCAGCAGATGGAAGGCTTTCTCTCTGCCTCTCCTTCTCTCTCTGTGTAACCCTGACTTTCAAATAAATAGATGAATCTTAAAAAAAGAAAATAACCCAAACCATGTCACTCTGCTCAAAATTTCTCCAGTTGCTTCTAATTGTAAACAGAAAAAAAGCCAAAGTGCTTTCTTAGAATGAACTATGAACTCCTGAACTCTATAGGATCTGATCGCATTGCCCCCTACCCTCATTACTTCTCTGACTTTATCTCCTATTATTCTCCTGGATGTTTACTCCACTCTAGCCACCCTTGCTTCCTGTTTATCCTTTATCGCTGCTTGAGAGGCTTTGGATTGCTATCAGCTCACTTATCTCCATGGCACACTCCCTCATCTTTCTCAAGTCTTGGTGAGATAGCATCTTCCTGGGGAATGACTTGAATGAATAAATTATATAAATAACTGGTATGATATGACATGAATGGACAGGTGTCAAATCACTAGTGCCACACATTTGCCCTTCCGCAGGTTCACTCCCCAACTGACTACAAAAGCTGGATGGGAAGCCGGGAGCCAGAGCTGCTTCTGGGTCTCTCCCGTGGGTTAAGGGACCCAAGCACTTGGGACATCTTCCTCTGCTTTGCTAGGCCCTTAGCAGGGAACTGGAACAGAAGAGCAGCAGCTAGGACTGGAACCAGCGCCAGGTGGGGGCTTAACCTCATATGCCAACGCACCCCCCTTCTCCCACCTTTTCCTTTTTTAACCGCAAGTTTCACTTAATATCACCAATACGGTTGAACTCGCAGCTTGTTTCCACTCCTGACAGTTTCTCAGCCCAACCTCACTCAACAAAGGAGAGGGGAACTCAACAGCAGTATTCAACCTAAGACAGGATAATTTCTATTCACTCTAGGAACGGAGGGTTGGCGAATGGGAGGGTGGTGAAGGGGGCAGGAGGAGGATTGCGGGGCCAGGTGAGTGGAAGAAACGGAAGAGTAATGATCAATTTATAGACGTGACCAGTCAACACAGCAGTATTTATTCGGAGCAAAGCCCTGTGCTAGTCGTTTATTAATGCCACGGTGAGCAGGATCCATGAGGGGGTCCGTGCCTCCAAGGAGCCAGGAATATCAGGTGACCTAAGAAGCGCACAAGCCAACAAAACGCGTGCAGAGGACATCAAGGAAATTCGAGAAAAACGGCAACCGACATTAATTCGGGGCGATTCGGTATGCCAGGGGCAGTCACAAAGATGACCACCCTTCCCCAATCCCAGGACAGGTAACGTGTGTCGTGTCAGGTGGTGCGCCCGGGCTGGGTCCCCGAGAGCACCGCTGCCAGAGGCCCCAGAGAGGCTGGATGGGAGTGCAGGTTCAGCAGGAGCCCTCCCGGGGGCGGGGCGGGGGGCGAACAAAGACAGGACCCGTGTGTGTGCAGGCGGAGGCGTGCGAGGTGGGCCTCGGAGGACCAGGCAGCCTGGGCGGGAACCGGCGTGGGCCAGGGGGCGGGACTGCGAGGCCAGGGAAGTCACCGCCGCAGTCGCCGCTCTCCCGGTTTCTGGCGTGGAGGAGTCCACCTAGGTTGAAAAGCCGGGGTCCGGCAAGTCTCTCCCGCCTGCTGGCCACCGTGGCTGCTCAGAGGTCCTTCATATCTGATGGCTTCGTGATTGGAAAAACCGCTCAGTTTGAGGAGCGCCGAGTCCCGCGCACCGTGGCGGCACGGCTGGCCGGCGGGCAGGCGGCCCTGGACACCGCTCCCGCCTCAGCCCCGCCGCCGCCGGGAGCCGCCGGGCCGCGGGAGGACGGCGCGGGCGGGGGCGGGGCCGCGGCGCACCTGCCCGGCGCGGCGGCTGCGCGGACCGACGTCCCCCCCCCCCCCCACGACGCCCGCCGAGTGTTTACGTGGAGACGAAGATGGCGGCGGCGGTGACGGCGCTGGCCGTGCGGCCCGGGACGAGCCGCCAGTGAGCGCGGAGGCTGCTCGCGCTCCGGGCGGGGCCGCGCCGCGCCGGGCCTGCTCGCTGGGCCGCGGAGCTCGCCGCCCCACCTCCGCCTGAACCGACCTTTCCTGTCTCCCCCAAACCCCGCCCGCTGCTCCGCCGCCTTCCCGCAGAGGCCATGGAGGACGAGGAGCGACAGAAGAAGCTGGAGGCCGGCAAAGCGAAGGTAGGAGAGGCGGAGGCAGCCGGGCCCGGGGAGGGAGGCGGCGGCTGGGCAGGGTGGGAGGGGGCCTGGGAGCGGAGCTGGCGGCGGCCGGCGCGCGCTGGCTGGCGGGGAGCGAGGTGCCGCGGCCCCGCGTTTCCCCCTCGCCCCTTGTTCCAGTAGGGGCGAAGCCCGGCGCCCCCTCCTCGCCGCCGATACTTGGGTGCTGAGTGAACGGCGTGGCTGCTTTCTCGTAAATGCCCAGGGCTGCCGTCAGCTGGTGTTTAATTGCTCCCGAATCTCAGCCTTTCACTTTCTTCAGGGGGTGTTCTGGGCGGTGCAGGCGTTGTGCTGCCCAGCGAGGAGATTCAGGGCTTCTCCTTTATTTGGGGGGGATTGGCGCGCGGCCGGCGGCTCGCCCGCCTCTCTGGCACGCTGGCACTCCGGGGCGTGTGTGATTGGCCTGTGACAGCTGCCTCGGCAGTGGCTCGAGTGTGCCACAAGTGCCAGCTGTGAACTTGGCTGCAGGGGCGTTGACAGAAGCGTGCCTTTGTATGTCTGTCTGCGGAGGTCTTTGTCGCGGCACCGAGGCTGTCTGCATGGAACTTCTGGGAACCCAGAGGTTCTGTGTTCCAAGTGACACCTACAGAATTCCTGCTTTGAGTAATGTCGTTGTCCTCTGTGTAGCTCCGGTGAGCCGCTGTTTCGTGTGTGTGCGCGCGCGCACGAAAAAGCCTGTAAAGCAAACAATACAAAATCATACACAGGTGTCATTCCTTGGGCTTCATGAAAAACTTGACACGAGATACATTTGAATAACCTATTTCTTTTAAACATTGCGTGTTAGACGTGTCTTCTGGTTGGCCCCAAAGGACCCCTTCTTCTTTACAACGAAATGACCTTTTGTAGGTTATCTGCTAATCTCTGTAGAGGTAATTGTCAGCAATCATACTTGGACTGCGGTTAAATGGTAGTGTAGTTAACTGTTTCTCCTCTCCGCCTTCCCTCCCCTCCCCCCACATAAACAAAGGAAACCGGGGCCCTGGCTGCAGTCCTCCGGGAAGGGCCACCTGCAGAGGTGCAGCAGGAGAGTGCTCATCCCAGGTGTGTCTGCCTGCGTGTGTAACGTAGCAATGCAGTGGGCTTTGCAGGAAGCTCCCTCCGCCCGAGGTCCAGGCTCACAGGTAGCCAGGTGGACTTTTAGAATCTGTACATGGAGGGAAGGGGAACAGGGCACCTTCCAGAGCCCCCAAATTGCTTACATTACACAAACCCCGTGTGTCCCTTGAGGGAGGTTAGCTGTGTGCTGGCTTCCAGAAGCACTGAAGTTCTAATCTGTCTGGCTTGGGAATTTTTACTGCTTGCCCCCAAAAATGTCTTTCCTAAAAACATGTGAAGCAGTCCCATGAAAGGTGATTTACTTTGGACAGACATATATCATGATAGAGGATTTAATTAAATAGTTGTAAGTAGTTGATTTGGCAAAATGGAGTTCTGTATGCTCTAGCGGTGTGTGTGTGTGTGTGTGTTTCAAAATTCTACCAATGGAGTAATGTTAATAGGTTAACTTGTATTTCAGAAGTTTATCTTCTTCTGGAGTTAAGCCTGCTTTTCCCAGTGAGAAATCTGTGAAACGTATAAGGCAGGATATGTTTGGGGCCACATTAGCTCTGCAATAAAAATACCGAAATAAGTCTTGAGAGATGATATGAAGAGACTGGCTTTCTAAGATGTATAAATGCAATGGAATAGTATGCAGCCATTAACGTTATGAAGACTAACAGCATGGAAGATAGAATGAAAATGGCATCATCAAAAATAGTCTATAAATTATTTCCTCTCTATATAAGCATGTGTTTTAGTTAGGACTGAAAAACATTGGGTTCTTTTTTTTTTTTTTTTTTTTTTTTGACAGGCAGAGTGGACAGTGAGAGAGAGACGGAGAGAAAGGTCTTCCTTTGCCGTTGGTTCACCCTCCAATGGCCGCCACAGCCGGCGTGCTGCGGCCGGCGCACTGCGCCTATCCGAAGGCAGGAGCCAGGTACTTATCCTGGTCTCCCATGGGGTGCAGGGCCCAAGCACTTGGGCCATCCTCCACTGCACTCCCTGGCCACAGCAGAGAACTGGCCTGGAAGAGGGTCAACCGGGACAGAATCCGGTGCCCCGACCGGGACTAGAACCCGGTGTGCCAGCGCCGCAAGGTGGAGGATTAGCCTAGTGAGCCACGGCGCCGGCCCAAAACATTGGGTTCTAAATGTAGTCATTCAGCACAAGCCATCTTGAACTCCCATGTTATGCCAGGGGCTGGAGATATAGAGGTGGTGACAATCTTTTTTCAAGTTAGATCACAGTGTACCCTAGAATGATACCTATCAGTGAATGCTAAATAAATGAAGAGCAGAATGACTAATGAGTTGTTAATGGGTGCAGCTTTACTAGTATGGTTATAGTTTAGTAACAATAGGGGCCAGCGCTGTGGCATAGTGGGTAAAGTCGCTGCCTGCCCTAACGACATCCCATACGGGCACAGGTTTGGGTCCTGGCTGTTTCACTTCCTATCCAGCTCTCTGCTATGGCCTGGGAAGGCAGAAGAAGTTGGCCCAAGTCCTTGAGCTCCTGCACCTTCATGGGAGACGTGGAAGAAGCTCCTGGCTCCTGGCTTCAGATCGGCACAGCTCTGGTAGTTGGCAGCCATCTGGGGAGTGAACCAGCATGTGGAAGACCTCCCCCCCCCCCCCGCCTCTGCTTCAAAAGTAGCAATAATCTGGAATTATCATAATTTAAAGATTTCATTGCTGGCATCAGAAACCACTTAGAATTTTCAGTTTCCAAAATTTGTTGAGAGATTAGATTCTTCAAATGTCTCATTCGTTCATTAGATTTACATATTGCATTTGGTAATGTTTTTATCTCATTTTTTTTAAAGATTTGTTTATTTGAAAGGCAGAGTTATATAGAGAGAGAAGGAAACAGAGAGAGACCTTCCATCTGCTGGTTCACTCCCCCAAATGACCACACAGCTAGGCTGAAGCCAGGAGTCTGAAACTCCATCCAGGTCTCCCATGTGGGTGACAGGAACCCAAGCACTTGGGTCATCTTCTGCTGTTTCCCAGGTGCATTAACAGGGAGTTGGATCAGAAGTGGAGCAGCCAGGATTCAAACTGGTGCTTGTATGGGATGCCAGCGTTGCAAGCGGCAGTTTAACCTACTGTATCACAGTACTGGCCCTGATAATACAGTTTTTTTTTAAAGATTTATTTATTTGAAAGGCAGAGTTACATCAAAAGAGAGAGAGATCTTCCATCTACTGGTTCACTTCCCAAACAGTCACAGTGGCCAGGGCTGGGCTGGTCCATGGCCAGAAAGAAGCTTCTTCCGGGTCTCCTATGTGGGTGCAGGGGCCCAAGCACTTGGGCCATCTTCCTCTGCTTTCCTAGATGCATTAGCAGGGAGCAGGTGGCTTAACCCCTGCACCATAGTACTGGCCCCAGGTAATTTAGGGTTTTTTTTTTTCCCCAAAGAAGCCATTTATTCAATAAGTACAAATTTCATAAGTACAACTTTAGGAATATAATTTCATTTTTTTAAAAGATTGATTTATTTGAAAGGCAGAGAGAGAGCTTCCATCTGCTGGTTCACTCCCCAAATGGCTGCAACGGCTGGAGGTACAATGATCCGAAGCCAGGAGCTTCTTCCGGGTCTCCTACATGGGTGAAGGGGCCCAAGGACTCGGGCCATCCTCCACTGCTTTCCCAGGCCACAGCAGAGAGCTAGATTGGAAGTGTAGCAGCCAGCACTGGAACTGGCGCCCATATGGAATGCCGGCGCTGCAGAACGGGGCTTTAATCCGCTGCACCACAGCACCAACCCCTATAATTTAGTTTTTTTTTTTTTTTTTTTTTTAAGATTTATTTTATTTATTTGACAGGCAGAGTTACAGAGAGAGGTAGGGACAGAGAGAGGTCTTCCATCTGCTGGTTCACTCCCCTGATGGCCGCAACACTTGGAGCTATGCCAATCTGAAGCCAGGAGCCAGGAGCCTCTTCCCTTTCTCCCACGCAGGTGCAGGGGCCCAAGGACCTGGGCCATCTGCTCCTGCTATCCCAGGCCACAGCAGAGAGCTGGATCGGAAGTGGAGCAGCAGGGACTAGACCCGGCGCCCATATGGGATGCCAGGGCGTTAACCCGCTGCGCCACAGCTGCCGGCCCCTATAATTTAGTTTTAAAGCCATAACTTTTAAATATTTTTCTTGATAATTGGTAAGCTTTTCATAGAAAAAATTTCTTTGTATCTAGACCTTACAAACAATCATTTTGAGTTAGAAAAATGTTTATAAATAATACCTAGTTAAGAAAAAGTTACAAGATGATACATATTTATAACGTGTTTTTAAAAAATATACCAAGATAGAATTGTGATTATATCTGGGTGGTGGTTATAGGCAATTTTAATTTTCTTTACTTTTTTTATTTTCAAATTCTCCAAAATATGTGTATTATTGGGAAAACCATTCAAATGACATTTTTAAAAATAAGGCCTATGAAAATCAACATTATGAAAATCAATATTATGTTTATGTGACCATTAAAAAGAACAGAAAATGAGGACAGATTAGCTAGGTTCTGGGGCAAGTGTTTTGGCCTGGTAGGTAAGACTCTAATGAAGATGCTTGCCTCCCACTTCAGAGTACCTGGGTTTGAGCCCCGGTCCCGGCCCCGGTCCCGGTCCCAGTCCCTGTTCCTCCTGCTCTAGCTTCCTGCTAAGGCAGACCCTGGGAGACAGTGGTGATGACTGAAGTAATTGGGTTCCTGCTACCGATGTGGAAGAACTGGACTGAGTTCCCAACTCCTGACCTGGGCCCGAGGTGGAGACCAGTGTGGCCATTTGAGGTGTGAACCAGAAGATGGAAAATCACTCTCTTCACCAAAAAAAAAATAAAAATGGTTTTCTGTTTTAATATAGTTCAGTACTGCTTGTATGGTTTACTTGGGGTTCTGTATTATTAGAAATTTGCAGGTCTCCT